GGCCTTAATAATTAGAATACGTAGGGCTTTGGGGCCCATAATACTCTAATGATTATAAGGAACCCCCAAAATAGTTGGTTATTATCCCTAAACCCTAAACCCCCCAAAATAGTTGGTTATCCCTAAACCTAAACCCCCAAAATAGTTGGTTATCCCTAAACCCTAAACCCCCCAAAATAGTATTGGTGATTGTTTAAGCTAGGTAGTATTATGACGGGTACCCCTTAAAGGGCACCCCTTCTGAACCCTACTTTTGGCTCTCTTAAAAGGGACCTTATTGAGAGGGTCTATATCCCCAAGGGTCCCCCTAATCCTAGCTCCCCTAAACCCTAAACCCTAATCCTAGCTCCCATAAGCCCCTAGACTAACCCAAGATGTTGCAAGAGACCCGGGGCCCGAGCACTTCCTGCCAAACGTCTCCGACCTCGGGCTGGCTGGCGTCTTTAACATTTGGGTTTAGGGTTTAGGGTTTATAAGGCTTAGGGTTTAGGGTTTAGGGTTTATAGGGCCTAGGCTTTAGGATTTGGGTTTAGGGGTTAGGGTTTATAGGGTTTAGGGTTTAGGGTTTGTGGGTTTAGGGTTTAGGGTTTAGGGTTTGGGGTTTGGGGCTTTTGGGTGATGTAGAGGAGCTTGGGTTCTTTAGTCTATAGCCTTGGGCCTTCGGGACTTGGCGGATAAGGAGAGAAGGCTTGGGAGCGCTTTCGGGCTTCGGCCATCGGGTTTAGGGTTTAGGGTCTAGGGACGGTGTCCGCAGTCTAAGGGATGGGGTTTGAGGTGCGACATTCCGAGAATCTTTCTCAGTTAGGGTTTAGGGTTTAGGGTTTAGGGTTTAGGGTTTAGGGTTTAGGGTTTAGGGTAGTACCTCCGGATTAAGCCGTCAGATTGCGCGACATCTTCCCCTTGCCGCCCTACCCTGGAAAAACAAGCCCTAGGCATACCCAACTGTCACAGCATGAGTTGCATCGAAACCCCAAACCCTCAACCCGAACCCCAAAACCCCCTCATACAGAGGCCTTTTGGGGGATTCCTAGTTTCCTATACCCCCAAACCCTTTTCCAAGTATTAAGGCCCCCATATTGATACAGAGAGAAGCGCCTGAAGACCTGTCGGCTCCACACGGCGGGGGGTGGGATGTGTTAGTGTTTAGGGTTTAGGGTTTAGGGTTTATAGGGTTTAGGGTTTAGGGTTGCACTTCTTCGGTCTCAACAATACCCAAATTGATGACCAGGGACACCTAATTGAGACCAGAAGATAAGCCGCAACTCTTCCCAAACAGGACAAACTAATTCCTCAACGCATTTAAAAACCTCAAAATCGCAGAGCCCCAGAACCCTAAACGCTGCAACACTAGATTTAGGGTTTAGGGTTTAGGGTTTAGGCCCTAGATTAGGTACCCGATTCCTTCAAGGAAACCTTTCGAATCCTGGCACGCTTAAACGAAGCCCTACGGGACTCATCACAGGAGCCCCTAAAGAAACCCTAAACGGCCCTAAACCTCTAAACCCTAAACCCTAAACGGCCCTAAACCTCTAAACCCTAAACCCGAAACCCTAAACTCTGAACCCTTGAAGCATAACCTAGGAAAAAGCCCCTAAACCTCTTAATCATAGGCGTCCCTACCCGTTCTGCTTCGATGAACCTCCCCCTTCAATAGAAGGTTCTGCTTCGTTGTTGTATTTTGGTTTGCTTGACAGTCATAGAACAGCATCGTGATCTCATTTCGAGTATTATAAAGTCGCCAAGTTAGGACTGACCTAGTATTGTTTGGTGGTCCTAGTATGTTACCATTGGCCTTGTGATTACATCAATAGGTGTATTATTTGGCATGGGATTCGCCGGGGCCCTTGGGACGCGACTCAAGCATGTGCCTCGCAGCAGTAAACAACCATCAACATTGATGTACGAAACACTCACCAGGCAGACGAGACCAGGCTGTTAAGTGATTGATTGGCCATGGATCCCGTGGTTGCAGAACTGCGGTCAGAGCTGGAGGCCACCCGTGTAGAACTGAATCGTGTTCAAGCTCGTTTGCGGCGGTTGGAAGAGCGATTCGAGTATGGCTGGCTTCGTGTGCTAGAGTTGGACCGCACCGTGTCAGTGCTCCGGTCTTCCGTGGCAGCTATTGGTCATCATTTGATTCAGCATTTTCATCGCCTCGTACTTGATCTTCGGATACGTTTTTGAAGGCGGAGGCTAGATCTGCTTGTCAAAGTCATGGGTTTCTCAGATTCGGCAGTTATGACCGAGATGTAGTTGTGCATCCCTGCCAGGTGTTCTCTTTTCGTTGGTGCATGGCTGCGGTTTCAATACATCCGAGGACCGATGTGTAGCTCGAGGGTTGTGGAGGGTCCGTGAAGTTGTGTTTCTGATGAGGGTAGCATTGGTTTGTCGATTGTTTAATTACGGTTGGGGATGAGATGCTCTAAAAGTATGAATGCATCAGGAGCATTGAGGACCCAAGAATGAGTTATGTAGCACAGGAACAGAATTTGTGCACATCCATTCCGGGGTTCGGGATGTCCTATGATTATAGGGCGGCATTTCGTATATAGTTGCTAGCATTGGTGCGGCCCGGCCGCCCAGGTTGTTTTGCGGTTCTGCAGATTCCACAGCAGCTCGCATTCGCTTGGGATTGTTGCAAAGTTCTTGCATTGCAGGTGGTGCGGCCCTGCCGCCTGTCATGGCATCTTGTGCGGATTGTCCGCACAGTGCCTGCGAAGTGGTGCATTTCTCATCGGTGCGGCCCTGCCGCCCAGGAGTCCTTTGAGTTCTGCGGATTATCTGCAGAGATCCGCTTCTGTGGAGATTGTCCTAAAGTGCTGCTATTGAGCTATTGCAGACGGTGCGGCCCTGCCGCCTGTCACGGCATCTGGTGCGGATTGTCCGCACATTGCCTGCGAAATGGTGCATGTCTCGTCGGTGCGGCCCCGCCGCCCAGGAGTCCTGTGAGTTCTGCGGATTCTCCACAGAAAACCGCTTCTGTTGAGATTATCGCAAAACGGTGTTATTGCAGACGGTGCGGCCCTGCCGCCTGTCATGGCATCTTGTGCGGATTCTCTGCATTAATCTCTTGCAAGTGCTGCACTTCTCCTGGATGACTGGATGCGGCCCGGCCGCCCAGGTCTGTGTGGACTTTATTATGCGGGTTTCCCATAGAAGTCCGCTTAGTTTGAAATTATTGTCCAGTGTTGGCCTTGCAGACAGTGCGGCCCTGCCGCAACACATTGCCCACTGTTGCGGATTCTCCGCAGAAGGGTCGGGAAGTGTAGCATTTCTCGTGTTCGTGCGGCCCGGTCGCCCAGGATTGATTCGAGGCTCTGCGGATTCTCCGCAGAACCTGGCATCCATTTGGACACCACTGTCGCAGGGTGCTGCCAAAATGCAGACGGTGCGGCCCTGCCGCTTGGCATTGCTTCTTATGCGGATCTTCCGCAGAATTTTGCTGAAGTGCTTCACTCGTCGTAATCGTGCGGCCTGGCGCCTAGCTTTGTTTGCATATCTTGCGGATTTTCCGCAGAAGCCCGCATCCGACTGCAGAGTTGTATTGCAGACGGTGCGGCCCTGCCGCCTGTCCTTGCTTCCTCGTGCGGATCTGCAGCAGAATGTTTGGGGTATGATGTCTATATTGCTGTTCTGGGTTGGGGACATTGCTCGTAGGACTCAGAAGCATTCTGTGGATATTTGTTGGACCAGGTGCGACATAGATTGAGACTTAACCTCATATGAGGTCAGAATCGTCATGTCTGGATGTTCGGCGGTTTTTTGGGGCCGAGGCTTGCATTGCCTTCAGGTGGGATATGTCTGATTTTGAGATTTCAGGAACTCCTTCATCAGAACTCTGGAATACCGCTGTCAAGTATGTTGCACTGCTCCGCTACAATTGTCTTCGGAGGGCCTAGACAGCAGGCTGTTTTTCTTTAATATTTGTGGGACCGGTACCACTCTTAGGCTGCTAAAACATACATCCCTTCTCTTCCGAGTATATTGAACAGGGGTTTCAGAGTTTTAAGAAGGAAGGTGAGATTTGCTGTAGGTATTCGGGCTGAAGGACCTGTTCTTTCTTCTTTGTCAGTGTTTGCAGATCGCCGAACATGTCACGGCTAGATGTTACAGCCTATCGCTTCAGGTCCCCTGGATAATATTTTCATGTTGAGTTTGTTTCTCCCCATAGTAAACCTACCTTCCCTTGGTCTTCTCCGAAGTTGCACTGGCAGGATTGCTGCCGCTGGTTTCCCGCTGGTTTCGGCAGTCCGTGGAGATGACAGAGTGCCTCGACTTCAACAGATTTCGTTCACGGCCTCTCGAGGCACTGCCTCGGAGACTGCCCTTCACTAGAGCAGTGTTTCAGTGTGTTGATGCCGGCATAGCAGATCGTATTCGTGGACATCCTGCAAATCATTTGAGGAAGCCAGCCCTTGGCACGCAGAGCATCGATTCAGTGCAGTCATCAGCAGAAAGATTGGAGCTGCCTCTTGCATCCTTGCATGCAGAATCTGTGCAAGGGTTCGGGGTGTGCGGCTCGGCCGCTGACCGTGTCTGTCCTGAGCAGATTGCCCGCTGATTTGCAGGGGAGTGCATAGAAGTGGTTGAGTTTTGGCTGCCACTAGAATCCATCCGCCCGATCTTTTGAAAGGGTTTCTGTTGTTGACGGGCATCCGCACTACTTTCCAAACTTGGGCTGACATGTCTATATTTGCAGCAGTCGATATCCTTCAGATTCGCTGTGGATAGGTTTCGGCTATTCCAGTCTTCGGATTGTTTACACTCAGAATTAGTTGCTAGAGCGGCATGAAAACCCTATCATTATCGACGGCTTTTTCGGACTTCTGGGATTCTGAGATTTTGCCATCTTCGGATTTCTGAGATTCAGAGTGAAGAAGGACCGCAGTCGTCCCTGAGTTAGCCCTTTCGCATGTGCTTGCCTGCTCGGGATGCCAGGCTGTTGTTCGAGCTTCTAGAAGCCTGCCTCCTTTTTCGGCCTCTAGAGCTGTCGTTTCGGCATGGCCTTGAAGAAAAAGGTTAGCAGGAATCTCGGAGGCACCTGATTGATTTCGGCACGGAAAATGCAAGCACTGTCGCAAGTTAGTCATTCGTGTTTGAGAACAGAAATCCGAGGGGCCTCTCCTCGAAGAGCTTGGGCAGTGTGGAGCCGGAGGCCGACTGTGCTGCCGAGTTCCTCATGTCGAGTGCTCAGCTGCGGTTGAAGAAGGCCATGGCCACAGGCCGGGCAAGACCACAGGATTGACTGTGACTTCCGCACGGAACATACTTTGTTGCCGAGCTATCCTTGCTCTCGCAGTGGACGAGGAGCCCGAGGGATCCGGCAAGAAGTCCGCCAAAAAAAACAAAAAGAAGAAGAGAAGTTCTTGGCAGCAGTCAATGTGTGATCTGGGGATTCTTGCTTTTGCTTACTTGTAATGATTTCTCCAGCCCATTTATCCCAGGCTCCAGCTCGGAAAGCAGCTTGGAGACGGAGGGCGAGGCTTTGGAGGATCTTGTGCAAATCTTTGGGCTTGTTCCCAAGGATTTGCAGAGAGGTGAGAAGCAGCAGCGGCTCGAAGACTTGACTGCTCGTCAGTTGGCTGTGTCCCTCGCCAATGTTTCTCGGTGTCTGCAAGCCTCCGACTTCTTTGACGTGGGGGGGTCCGCAGCAGCTTCACTGCACACTTAAACGACTGCATGCTTCAATACTGCTTGGCCTGGTTTGGTTGATTTTTCCCAAACTAAGGAGTCACTCCTAGCCCAGAAGGCGAGAAGGACCAAGAGGCTGAAGGACAAGGACGGCGAGAATGATGCCCTGAATCAGGCTCCCCAGTTGATATATAAGAGGAATCGCAGTTTCCGTGCTTCTTGCGGCTGGCAACCAAGGCCTCGGCTGCTGGTCTTCGTTGGAAGAAACGAATGGGCCATGTGTGCCAGCTCAGCCGCTTGGCAATCGATTCGACTGTGTTTGGTGCCTTGGTTTGTAACCGTTCCTGCTGAATCTTCTGGATGCTCTGAGTTTGTGGTAAGCCACCATCTGCGATTCAAATCACCAATGCGAAGTCGACGCCTGCTGTCACCGCGATTCTTCGGTCTTTGGCGAAGTCGCACAAGAGGTGACTCGACGACTACTTCCGTGCATATTGTGTGTCGGTGTGTGTGTCGGTGTGTGTGTGTGTGTGTGTGTGTGTGTGTTGTTTTGTCCGATAGCCAAGGAAGTCCAAGTTGGACTCTGAAGAGTTCGAGGCAGCCATCGAGAAGCAGATGAAAGTGTTCAAGGAGGAGACCGCTGTTGAAACCACGGTCAAGGGAAGGGGTTGCATTTGATTCCTGGGGATTGGGTTCGTATGGATGGTTTATTATTCTGACCCCGAACCCCAAACAAACCCCCAAGAAAGAAAAAAAACGCTGGCAGGGTTCCCGTTCCTGTCGCATCGGGGTTTTCACCAGGATCTGAGTTTCAGGTATTCGAGGCTACGAGGAGCCCGCCCTTGGTGGTTGCATTCTATTTTCGCTTTAAGTGTGCATGGCATTTACAGTCTCTGCTTCGGCCAAACGTGCTCGTGCTCTGCAGAAATGTCCTCCTGGATTCAGATAACTATGTACCTAAGGTTCGCAGTCGTCAGTGCCTAGCTTGACAAGGCCCGAGTGTGCGATCTTCGGAATCATCGAAATTGCAACGAGAAGTCTCCACGCTAGAAGTTGCCAGTTGTCGGATGGATTTAGTTCGTGAACCTCGGCTTGCATCATTCGCTGCTGGCTCACAGGAGGCCTGTGCAGGCCATCGTATGACTTTATGTTTTGATTCAGTGGTTAGGATTAGGCCCTGCTGTACGCCCAAGACCTTGAACACTTCAGCGACCTATGTTATGTTGCTGGTCCACATGTGTCTTTCTGCAGCAGCAAGGACATTGGATGCAGCAGAAGCTTTACGTAGCTAAGATTCCGCTTCGGATGTTGCAAACTTCATTGTCTCTAGACACATCTTGCCGGTTTAGAGAAAGCCTCTCCTGAAGCAGAGTTTTCGCGATCACCATGGACCTCTCTGCACTCCTGACTGCCTTGGCGGCTGCACAGCAGCAAAATGCTCCGGCGGCACCGCCGCCCGCTGCTGGGCCGGTGGCTGCTCCGGCGGGATCACAGAATCCCCTGACGATGATGCTGATGCAGGGTTTGCTGCAGCAGGTGCAGCAAGCAGCAGTGGGGACTTCGGTGGCTCCTGCGATCTCGGCGGCTCCTCCGGCATCTGCCGCAGCTGAAGCTCCTGTTGCAGGTGCAGACGTGCAGAAGCTGGTGGCCGAGGCAGTCAAAGTCGAGATGGAGAAGCGAGGCCGCCCGCATGGGTCGCTGGCCAGAGATGAGAAGTTTCAGAAGAAGCCGGTGGCGACGCCAAGGCCAAAGGTCCCGGCTGCGAAAGAGGAGGCTCAGGAGATGGCCGATGCAACAAGAGAGCCGGGGAGGGCTTATATGGTTCCGACGCCGAAGATCCCTCCCAAGCCTGCCAAGCCGATGCAGGAGGAGCAGGGCGAGCAGAGCAGTGGGAGCAAGCAAAAGCCACGGAACTTGCACTACTGTACGCCGGCTAACCAGAATCCGCCCAACAAGGCCAGGAGTGGCGACGGCAAGCTTCTTCGCATCGCCTCAATGGACTGGGGAGATGAGGGCACCGAGGTCTTGGAGTTCTACGCCAGGATCGTTCCCAGGTCCGAGAGTGCTTTCGCCAAGGAAAGGAAGCACAAGGCTGCCAAGGCCGACACGGAGCCGAAAGAGGAGGAGCCGACAGAGGCCGAGGCCCCGCAGACGGAGCCGAAAGAGGAGGAGCCGGATTTTCCGCTGGAGGAAGAGGAGCCTCCGCCGCCTCCACCACCACCTCCGCTGCACGAGCATCCGGACTACAAGGGCCGAGTTCCAGAGCCGCCGCATCCGCCGCAGCAAAAGGACCCGAATCTTTGTCTGCTCATTGGTATTAAGCTCATTCTTCCAAGTCTTTCTTGTTTGCTTTGTTTTCAGCTTCAGCCCATCCTGAGGTTCTCCAAACTTAATAATTACATATAATAGTAAGATACTTCCCACACAGAGCTGTTTCTTGACTTTACTGCCCAGATATACTTCTGTGAGTCTAGATCTTAAGCTGTCCAAGGAACAAGAGGAAGCTCAGCAGGGCCGAGATTGCTGAACAGACTGGATACAAGAGACCTCGTGGTGGCAAGTCCAGGAAAAATTGAGTGAGGTCTGAGGTGGGTCGGTGCTCCGAAGGAGCTTGCAGTGGCCCCGCTATGAATGATGGTGCATGGTCTTCCACAGCCGCTTCGCATTTTGCTGGAAGAAAAAGATCGGTAATTTCACGCCTTCAGCCCTGAGTGTCGCCACTCCCTTCAGTTTGCTTGCACTGCACTTTCGAGTTTCCACTCCATTCCCTGTTTTCGTCAGGAGGCCGACGCCGATGTCCTGGCCCTGCAGCACAACGACAACCTGTCTCCTGGCAAATCCCGTCGAAAGAGAAGGCACGGCAGAAAAACGACGCCATCCAAGGCCAAGGCCAAGCAGTGCAAGAGGGAGTTCTTGAGTCCCCCAGTGCCCAAGCGATTGAAGTTTCAGCCTGAGTCTGAGGAGGAAGGCTCAGATCAGGAACCGGACCCGGAGGCTCCCGAAACCTCCAAGGGCTCGGACGACGATGGGGAGGACAAGCCAGTCCCCGGATCGGATGACGAGGACGTCTTCAAGGGCAAGTTTGGTCTCAAGGAGACCCCCAAGTATTTGCCGACATGCTCCACCAAGTCCGAGAAGAAGACGCCCCTCCCTTCTTCGAAGAAATGCCCTCGCATTTCCGACAGTGTCATGGATGCGATCCCGGACTCGGTCCAAGGGACCCTTGCCTTAAATTGTGAGCCTGCGATTCCAAGCAGGGTTGCTGCACTGCTTCCAGAAGCTTCAGTGTCAAGTCTTGTCGTGATGCTCCTTAGCCAATCTCATTTCTTGTCCTGCATCAGGAGCGATCGCAAGCACTGGGCGGACATTTTGAAGCAGGAGAGACTCTTCACGTTGGAGGATGTCATGGACAATGTTGCCGAGCTGGACGGAACTCCAGCCTGCAATTACACGCTTTTGTCGTTGTCGTTGTGTGTCTGTCTGCCGTGGCAAGCCTAGGTGATATTCTGGAAGCCTTGGGCGAGAAAGCTGTGGCTTCGTATCAGAAAATGACACTGAAGAGCAAGAAGATGTTCAAGCAGTGGCCTGCTACCCTCAAGGCTCCTTGGCTAGCTACGCCTAGTTCTCACGATTGCTGTGCTTCCTTGCTTGTGTGCTATGGTGTTAGCCGCAGGAGCTGCAGAGCACTGGGACCATGGTGGAGGCCATCCAGGACGGGGGTCAGGTGCTGCAATACCGCAAGCCTACACCGGTAAACAGCCCTGCTACTTTGAGGCCCGAAGCCTCATAAAATTAGTACTTAACTGGGAAACTCAGTAACTGTGCCCAAAGCCCGAACCGGACCACTCCCGAAACCCTCAACTCCAAACCCTAAACCCTAAGTAGGAAATCCATGGTTTGTTTTATCAGAACTCCAAAAGCGAAGCCAGGCCTCTGGTATCACGTTTTCAAAATTTGAGTTTTGTCGCAAGTACGAGGATCTGCCAGAGTGACGTGCAAGTTCATGTGTTCTGGGTGTAAGAAGGAGAATTGTGGGAGAGCCAGTAACGAAAGATCCGCAAATTTCAATAATGGACCGGAGTGCTGGCTTTCTTGTCTGAGGTTTCCTGGAAGCCCCTCACGCTGGACTTGTTGTGCAGAAGCTTCTACTACTTAGTGAATCGCCGCAGCCTCTGTGAGGTGCGACAGTACTTCAAGTACGTCTTGCAAAGTGACGTCTATGCTAGGTGCGAGAACAAAGTTTAGCAATAAATATTCTAAGCCAAAGGCAAGCTTGTGATGCTTCGACAGCAAGCCAGATTCTGAAGTGCTGCAACATAAGTCTACCAGCCCAAGTGCTGTGACTCAACAGCTTTTACTTAACAGTAAACGCCAAAACTCTGTAATCCCCGATCCCCACACTCCGAGCGATACAAAAAAAAGCCAACCAATGTTCCCTGAGCCCGCAAAGTCTCAACATTGGTGTCCCACCTCCAAATTATCGCAAAGAGCAAACCCAATAACCCAAAGTTTGCTTTTTTTTCAATGCACGAAAACCACTGTCTCTGAAATGAGCAGAAACCCAGGCTTCTGCTGTGAAATACAAGTAGTATCAGTGTGGTTACCAGGACCATCAGCAAAAAGCACGGAGTCTCATGTCTGCTGCAGTCAGCAGAACCTTCGTTTCCTGCGAGGCAACACACACACACACATCAATATTCCGCTTGCAGGACAGCAGAGCATATCCCGACTTCAACATGGCACTGGTGATTTAGTTACTTTGCCGGTGCTGCACAGAAGCCTTAACTAATAATAATGAAGTCGTAGCCTCCAAGGTATTTGTGGGCTCCACACAGGATCACAGAAAAAACGATAGAACAGGTCCGCTCTCAGGGTTTGTGAGTTCCAGGGTGTCCGCTCTGAGAATTTATGTGCTCCAGTCGTTGCATCTCTCAGGTTTGATGAAGCCAGCAGTGTGCATATCTTTGGAAGATTCCTGAAGTAGTAGTAGGACAGCAGAAGAACAGGAAGTTTCAGGACTGCCTGCCAACAAAGTGATTTGGAGACACGGGGACGCCACTAAAATAACAACATGTCATGTTTCAGAGAGTGGCAAAACATCGAAAGTGGGGTTGAGTTCCAAGCCCAAGCCTACGAAGAGAATGCTAGAGGGGAAACACAGAGCCACAACGAGAACGTGATTTTGTTCTTTCCAGAGTTGTGCCTGCATTGCAGGACAAGGTGTGATCCGTTTTCTTCGTGGCCGCTGTGTGGACTGCAGCTGTGCTTTAGACGACTGGGACACTACAGGTCGTCGGCTCGCTTCCGGGTGTGAAAAGATCCAAGACTTTCTCACAGAATCGCGACCTCCCCAACATGCAGAGAGTGTTGGAAGCACTGCCGCAGCACAGCAAAACTTGCTTTCGGTCCGATTGTCCCGTCTCAACGACTTCAGGTGAGTCAGAAGCACGACAGCCGCACACAGCACTTTGTCCGGTCCGTGGAGCCTCATGGCCTCTTGCAGACCACTTGAAATGCCCTAGGACTGAGTTTCGAGATTACGGTCGAATCCTCAGCTCCTCAGATTCTAGGCCACTAGAAGAAGCCCCGCATCTCCTACAGACTTTCCCTGCTTTTCGAGCCCTCCGTCCGGCTGTCGGCGAGCCTCGCCGAGGCACCGGGCCCCGGGGCTTGTGGGCGGGGTTTGCTCGAAGACAACTTAGAAGGCAATGGCTGGGACCCTGGATTTTTAGGCTGACGCGAAGGTCCTGCCAGGATACTCTGCCGCCGTTGAACGTTCTGCTTCGTGTGATGAGTGGCCAATGGTTCTGCTTGGGCTAGTGATGGTTCTGTTTCCGGGAGTTAGGGATAGATGGTTCTGATGCCAGGAGATTGGAATCATGGTTCTGCTTCCGGTTCTGAGTCCTGCTTGGAAACAAAAAAAAATACGAAGCAGAACCATGTAACACAAAATCCCCTAGAATCAAGGTTTTTGAGAATGCTCCAAGGAAACACTGCTTTTAGATGGTTCTGCTAAATTTCAATGTCCCTCATTTAGCGCGTTCTGCTTCGTTTTTTTTTTCTCTCGTGCCCGCCTCGACGCACTGAGTCAGAATCGTACGTGTCCGCCCGCACCAAGTGGAACCATGCCTAGAATTTAGGACCACTGCTGCAGGATGGAGCAATGGCTGGCTTCGAAAATGAAGGAGTTCGGAGAGTTGCTCGGAGGCAGTGAAGAATAGATGGTTCCGCTTGAGGACATGGTTCTGCCTCAGATGAAAGCCAGGATCCCCAGACACCACAAAATCTAAGGGCCGTGGACAAAGAGACTCGGGGGCCTTTGCAAGAGCGGTTTTGCAAGCTGCTCCGACTGGCGGATGAGAAGATCCGCAGAAATGAGCCCATGTCCTCCAGCTGCCCCTGGATCCACGGACACTCCTGGGAGGCCTGGAGATTGGCATTGGTCCGCTAATTTTACCTACTGGAGGTCTTTCGGTCGGACCGGAGTTCGCATTGTTTGTCCTGATTCCAGAGGCTCTCTTGGATGACGTCCGAGCACGAGCCGCGAGTTTCGGTGCTGTCATCCGGCCACGCATTTTCCCCGCCCCCGATGCCGTGCCGGCAGATGAGGAGGCCCAGGAATCTGCACTGCCGGAGAAAGCGAGCCCAAGCTCCTCCAGCAAACAGCGGGCAGCAGTCGTGGAACACTCCGAGCACGCCACGATGTCCCTCCGGACCCAGAGGGCCAAGACCGGAGTTTTGGAGTTCGCTGTGGCAGCTCGCATAATCTCAGAAATAGTTGGACTGGACGGTGGCACCTTCCGTGGTCGTAAAATGATGCCCCTTCTGTCCGCATGTCCGAGGTTGCCGACGCCGCCGAGTGGACGGAGGGCTACAGCTGTCTGTGGCGAACAGACGAGGTCTGGAGTCTCCTCGCCAGGAATCAAAGTTATCCAAACTGGTACACGAAATTGTGCCTCTGCTTCATTTATTAATTCTTCAGCAGAGCAGCAGATTCCATAAACTCAGTTTTCCTCCTGATTTTGCCATGCTAAGGAAGGACACTCAGGTTTTTCCCGTGTCCCAGGCCTGGTGTATCAAGCACCAGCGACATCTCCTTCGTTCTACACTCTACAAAGGGAAGCAACGGGATGATGAGGAGGAGTGTCCGATCAAATTGCCTTTCAACACACTGAGCTTCCCAGGGTTTTTCCTGGTGGCTGCTCGTCTGCACATTTTCATAGGTTGTCTCCTTCGTCCCGTTGATGCATGATAGAAAGCACGGCTGTCTGAAAATCACACGACCCAGGTTGCTTCGGTCTTGCAGATCCGATCTTGCAGTCCGAAGCACCAAAGAGCCGCTTTGGCTGCTTTCGAGATGCTCGCCGGCAACTGCCTGCCTCCTAGTGGTCACCTGGACCTTCTTCCCTCCCTTCCTGTCTGCAGCCAGCCTGCATTAATGAGGTTTGCTTCGTTCTTCCATCTGTTATTACATTTCTTTACCAAAACCGGCAGGTCGTATCACTTGGGAGAACGGAGAGGTGAACCTTGCAAGCTGGGGCGAGACCCTGGACTTCATTGAATGGTCGGACAGGCTGGTTCTGGTTCCGCGAAGAGGCTGCTCGTGCCGAAAAGTTGCCTTTGTGCTCTGCACGAGGTGGCGAAGATGCCAGCTTCTCACCGAGGCACAACGGAAACTCCAGACAGGACGGGCTCTAGGGCAGACTGCGATCTCTAGCTGTTGGATTGTTTAGCCTATGGCTGCCCAGTGCACGCAAGGAGTCTCCCTCGGTCTGATGATGTTTTTTGTTCTGCGACAGAACTTTGCAGAGAGTTGCTGTGCTGCTCTTTGGCCTATTTTTAGCGGTTTCTGCAGATTCGTAACTTGCTGTGCAATCTTTTTCATCCCACCGACTCAGGATCGGTACAAAGCGGGCCGACTTCAAAAACGGATGATTCACAGCCTCAGCCAGCTGGCAGAGCACCACCTGGTCCCGCTGCTCACGCCGAATCTTCCTTTGGCCACGAACCAAGACGAGTTCCATCCGGCAATGAAGTGTCTCGGCCGAGGAAAGAGGAACTCTGGATAGCACGCCTGTCTGTCTGTCCAGATTGAAGCACTAAGGGACGGAAGATCTCTTCGCAACGATCTAAAGCAGAAGCACATTGTCAGTTTGGACCGATGGTTGAACCGCAGCACCGGCTGCCTGGGGACCTCTGCCGACCAGACCCTCAATTCCGTGGGCTTGCAAGACATGGTGCCGTCCCACCCTCACAGGCAGCTCGATTTAGCACAATCACTAATGTATCTATGTCCTTCATGTTGCATGAGAGCTTCAAGCCAGGCTGACTGGCGACTTCTTGTATCGGTACTGGCTGAAAGCTGCCAACGAGCTCAGACAGGAGACGCAGCATCAGCCTCGCATTCCATCTGTCTGAAAAGTCAGTAACTCGGAGCAGCCATGATGGCCTTTCTAGCGATGTCTTCGTTTTTCTGCCGTCTCGTCGTGGCATTTTGGGTTTCATTTTGGTGGCAGCATCTTCTTGCACATGTGGTGGCACTACCTCTTGCTGTCGGTTGTTTGTCTCCGTCCGCCTATCTCTCTCTCTCTCTCTCTCTCTCTCTCTGTCTCTCTCTTCCCGGTATCTTTCTGGTTCTATGGTCATTCTGACATCTCTCGGTCACTCTATCTCTTTATAAGCTCTTCTAGCTGTTGCGAAGTGCCTGCAGGACATGCAATCGCAGACTGCGAGAAGTCTGCTGATTATGGCGGACGCCAGCCCCAAGGGCAAACTGGACGTGGCTGGATTGCACAGCAACATAGACCGATGATATGGGACACTGTGTGTCTTTCGCTTTGCCTAGGTCTGGAGTCCAGTCCTGTTCTGTGGCCGAGCCGCAGCATGCATGCCTCTACAGCGAATGTCCGATCTCCTGGCCTCGACAGCTTCAGTGGAAACGAAGCTTGAAGAAGCACAGAGGGCTGCCGACTCCTTTGCCGAGCTCACAAGTGCCGCTCAAGCTGTGGGGCAGAAGAAGAAACTGCTCTTTGGCCGCAAAGAGAAGACGTCGTGCGAATGTCATGTCTTGTTCTCCAGTGAAAGCTCTCCGAGGCCAAAGGCGATCTCGACGATCCGCCAGAAGAAACTGGCAGCTCGAGAGCAGCTGCAAGCACTCTTGCATACCTTGAATATGCTTGACCTGGAGCTCAAGCTGCCAGAGCACGGGCTCCACGCAGCTGACACAGCAAATGGGGAAGTCCGGATTACTTCGCCCGATGGCTGCTTTCTCTGGAATGCGAACACAGGCCAGGCCGTCTGGGACAAGATCATGGAGGCCGACCTGAAGGACTTGAGGGTCGTCCTCTCCCCTGACGAAGGATCGTCGATGTTCTGTTGCTTTGCTTTTCTTGCTGCCAACGGCTTCAGAGTGGGGTGGTGCAGAGACGAGCTGCAGCTCGGATTATTTTCCGGATTCGCAACTAGTCAGTGTTGCATATTTCTGTGTGATTCCTTTATAAGTTCCCACCGCTCGAGGCACAAGCTTTCGAACCACTTCCTCCGCCTTCTGCGATGCAATGCAGCAGTTTCCCGCTTCTCTGCTCATGTGCAAGCAAATTACAGCTGCATTTGCCGGTTGTTCTAAATGTGTTTGTCCATAAGTCCCGGACACCTGCAAGGGATGACCTCGCTGACTTCATGGCTCATGAGAGCCAAGAAGACTCCCTGGGCAACATCCAAGCTGGGGAGCACATGGGCCCAAGCAGCCGAACGCTATCTGAACATTGCACCCCGCACAAATTTTTTCAGGTTCCTACAGAGACATACACGCATACGTACATACATCCACCCATCCATACATACATACATGGGTGCACACACACACATACACACACATGCCTACACGCATAGATGAAATACATACATACATCCATACATCCATACATCCATACACTTACATACACCTACATACGTACATACATACATACATACATACATACATACATACACCCTACGCCCTACGCCCTACACCCTACACCCTACACCCTGAACCCAAACCCGAAACCCGAATACTCCAGAACCCAACAGCACCCTCGGCCCTGTCGACCTCGAGAGCTCCTCATGACACCCTAAACTAAGCAAACCCTACCTGGGTAGTTGTTAAATTAGGGTCCCTTTTAGGCTTTTAGGGTTTAGGGTTTAGGGTTAGGGTCCTTTTTTTATAAGAGTGCCGTACTATATTGGGGACTTGGCAAAAGAGGGACACTAATTCAGAGAACTACCCACTTGGTGATCCCAAAACCTACCGCTTCAAGGGTTTAGGGCTTAGGGTTTCTACTCTCTAATTCAGGGGCTCATAACCTACAACTTTGTAGGGTTTCGGGGTCAGAGGTATCTGCTTGAACCTCGAACCCTTGATCCCCACCACGTAAGCCCAAAGTAACCTGCAGAACCTCAAAAGTCGCCCTGACAGTAGTCCCCTAAACCCTAAACCCTAAACCCAAAGCCCTAAACCCTAAATCCTTCTATGAACTTCTGCCAAAACCGAACACGAAGCCCCCAAATCCCAAGCGTCGATTCCGCCGCTTTGCTGTATATACACACGCTTTTTCAGAACCCTTTAATGGAACCCTGCCCTACTTTCCTTGAGGTGAACAGGTTGACTCGGCCGGCCGAGCAGTATCACCATTTTCTTAGCCCCTCGGCTCTTCAACGGTTTAGGTTTTTTAAGGTTTAGGTCTTAGCGTTTAGGTCTTTAGGGCTTCAAAATTTTGGGTTTTAGGGTTTTAGGGCTTTAAGGTTTTGGGTTTTAAGGTTTTAGGGTTTAGGGTGGGCTGCATATGCCTATATGGTATGTGCACGTGTGTGTGTGCGTGTGTGTGTGTGTGTGTATCTATGCTTTTTGCATGGAGACAGGCCTTAATGGAATCCCTATACAGGCATTTCAAGGCTCAAGTATCTACTATATAGGTACACCCTAAACCCTAAACCCTAAACCCTAAACCCCTGAAGCCAAGGTCATGACTGGGGGACAAGTGCTTGGTTGAAGTATGTCTCCCTACTCATCTACTACAACTCCGGTGCTGCCACGCTGGCCACTATCCTGGTCAGCGCAGCGCTGGGTGTTGCCGTGGCCTGTGACTTCGAACTCCACAGTTCCCTAAACCCTAAACCCTAAACCCCTCCTAATCAGACCCTTCTTAAACCCTAACCCCTAAACCCATAAACCCCTACACCCGTAAACCCTAAACCCCTAAATTCCTAAACCCCTAAACCCTAAACCCCTACGCTGTGTTGTGTCGTTGTGTTGTGTGCTTTTTCGAGCTTTAACGACTTCGGGCTTCGAGCCCTGAGTTCTTTTAAGGGTCTAGCGGTTCATGTTAGAGGCCTTAGTAATTATAAAAATAAATCGAAATAAATAAAGAACAAGAAATAAATATATATATATATATATATATAGTTTGCGGGCTCCTTATTGTAAGTGTAGTGTAATGTACCCCCAAACCCGATTCTAATGATTAAGGGCCCTTTGATTCTGGATTATCTTTTCGTCGTGGGGTTCTTGTGGTCGTTCCATGGAGTCAAGTTTTCCGGAATTGAGGTTGGCAACACCGGGGCCTTAAGAATCTTATACTGTAAGGGTTTAGGGTACTATAACTACCGCAAGGAACCCTAAGGAGTAGTATCGGTAATCATTTTCACCCCTACATTGCATTTCTCCCAAATGATGATAAATAGCAAGTCCAAGGCTACAAAAGGCCTGTGGTGTGCCTGGAACGATCGAGAGTCGAAAGTCAGGGCCCGCTGGCCTGCGCTACAAACTACACAAACTAGACCCGGTGCCTCTAACTTAAGGGCTGTTTTAGGGTTCAGGGTTTAGGATAAGAGCCCTCTCTCTCGTTCTCTCTCTCTCTCTCTCTCTCTCTCTCCCTCCCTAAACCCTAAACCCTAAACCCTCTCTCTCTCTCTCTCTAAAACCGTAGATCAAGCTCACAATCTCGAAATCCAAAGCCTTAAATCCGAGCACGCTCGACCTGCCCACCACCCCAACACCCTGAGCCCTAAACCCCCAAACCCTAAACCCTGAAACCCTAAACCGACCCTAAACCTTTCCAGGAGCCGTTGAAGTGCTTCCTTAGAGACTTAGGTGAGGTCCTACCGGAGATGGCATGGATGCCCGTGTGCGGAGACCTGGTTTTTAGTAGTTAGGGCTTCGGGGGCTTAGGGTTTTTGGCTTAAGGGGTTAAGAGATGGATCAAGGCTTAGGGCTTTAGATTTCGGGTTTAGGGATGTTCGGATTGAAGCGTCTAGGAAGCTGTTCCGTCGCTTAAAACAAATGTTCTGTAGAGCTGGTGGTTCGAGCTGTCCGTCCGGAGCTACGTACTTTAATGCCTATATGTTGTTCGATGTCTTGTGCCTCGGATCCTGTGATCGAACCGTCAACTCCAAGGCATAAACTGCCAACCGGACCACGATAAACTTCAAGCCCGAAGCCCTTAACCCAAACAAGCCCCAAAGCTGAAACCCTGAAGCCCTGAACCGGCAACCCTAAACCCGGAAACCCTGAAACCCTGAAACCCTAAACCGTAAACCCTAAACCCACAACCCCAAGGATATTTGGTGTTTTTCACTTTTCTCTTCTTCTGGCAACAGCTCCGACGGCTCGTATTGCGACCTATGATCGTTTTTCTCGACAAGCTCTGCATCCCGCAAGACGACGAGGACCTAAAGGTGCCTCTTTGCAACAGGGGCTCCTTTTCGAGTGCTACCAGGGGTCCGTCCAGGGTTCCTTTAAGGGTACCATAAGGGTTAAGGTGCCGTCTTTAAGCAAAGGAAACTATGTACTAGAGTAGGTAATGTTTAACCTTTGTTGGGTACGATAATCCCTTTTTAACCTTCACGGTTAAGCCTTCGTTCCCTTAGGATACTGGACAAGTCAGGAAACATTTCTAAGGGTTTAGGGCTTTTAGGGTTTATGGCTTAGGGTTGTATTATTTGGGTTCAGGGTTCATGGGGTCTTAATTACGAGCATTCTGAGAGGATTGGTCTAGGAATGAGGTGGTTAAAGGGTTCTGGATAAAAGGATTCGACAAGAGTTTTACCAGGGCAAAGGTTTTCGGGTTCAGGGTTTAATGTAGGGGCCTTAAGAATTAGAATAGGGTGTTGGGGCTTCCTTATTATGGTTATAGTGTACTATACCCCCAAACCCTCCTCTAATTATTAAGGCCCCTATACTAATCCCTAGACCCCAAACCCTAAATCCTAAATTCAAGGACCAAACCCTAAACCCTAAACACTAACTAAAGTAGAATGGGCACCAAAACCCTCTGGAAAGGGTTTGCTCGAACGGATCACGGAAACTTTTCTGTTTGATGCCGGCCCAGTCTTTAGGGTTTAGGGTTTTCGGGTTTTAGGGTTTAGGGTTTTAGGGTTTAGGGTTTAGGGCTTTAGGGTTTTAGGGTTTAGGGGTTTTGGTTTTAGGTTTTTTAGGGTTTAGGGTTTAGGGTTTAGGGCTTTTAGGGTTTTAGGGTTTTAGGGTGTCGGGTTTTAGGGTTTACAGGGTTTAGGNNGTTTAGGGTTTAGGGTTCAGGCCTATTTGCAACCCTCAGTCAGAGGGGCGTTTAAAGGAACGCTTTCAGGGAGCCTTCAAGGGGGCCAAGCACAGAACCCTTAGTACAAGAGGCCCGCTTAGGGCATAGAACCCGCTTCGAGGAGCCTTTAATGTAACCCTAACCCCTAGACCCTAAACC